CGTTTGCTCAGGAGTTTGACAGCCTCGTTTTCGAAGGCACGTCTTGGATTGCTTGTCATGATAGTGGGGCGGAGCTTTACACCTTGCTAGGTGCTAGGAGTGGTGGACATTTGGAACCGAAACCTCGAAACGTCCAGATGCTAATCCGAATCCCGAAGCCTTAAGCTTCTTTGGGTATGTTTTTGTCATTTCAGGCTTCGAGACCTGCTCCGATCCATCCTTGCCGGCTGACGTGCGGGTGCGCTCCGACACACCTTTTGGCGGTTTGAGGGTTTTCTCCCAGGATTGCCTAGAGAGCTGCACGGGCAAAGCTCCATATGTGCTTGTGGAGTAGGCCTGAATGGCTTAAGGTAGGCTCCTCAACCCCGATTCCCAAGCTCTTCCGTTTTTGCTTAAGCTAAGCCACACTCCTGCGGCGAAACGCCGCCGTCCAAACCCGAGACCTACACATCCAACAGCCAAACCACCAGAGCTTGTTTGTCCATGCAGTGCTGTCAGCTGCCTTCCCCGTTGCCGGGCTCGAATGATGGTAGGCCCTAGGCAGACTGAGACGGGGTTTGTTGAAAGGTCCATGCAGTTGCAAGGTCTGGTGACAGAACTAAGGAGTTGATTTGGGTCTCTATGCATGTGGAACCGTAGGACGTACGTAGGAGACAGAACTTGCTGCTTGGGCCTTTTATTGCCGAGGATAAAGAAGAAGAACGCATGCTTTGCGACAAGAGGTTGTGCATAAACGACCAGCTCACCAGCACATACCAGCACAGGGTCCGACACTCCTCGCAGACGTCTCCCAAAACATGAGCACGTCTGGCGTGCACACACACACACACACATGTGCGCAAAGAGTTCGGGGAAGTTCGAGGGCTGTCCTGGAATTGCCTAAGCTTTATTTAGCCATGTTCCGTGCTTCCGATATCTTCGGAAAGCGCTCTGGCAACAACTCTGATGCCTTGCGGGAGAAGGCAGGGTAATTAATTAACAGCTCTTACTCTGAAGCGCTCTGTATCGCATGCTTCATTCTGTGTTTAAACATATTGAGGGTCAGGAAGGCTTATGCATGCTGTCAGGCACGGCGTACCTCTGCTTTCAAGCGCCGAGGTTGAGGGTCAGGAATCATCAGGTTTGGAGAAGCCTCAGAGAGTTGGAGTGCAGTGCGTGGTGGAACTCGAGAAAACAAGTGCAATTTTGATGGGCAGTCTGCCCAAATCCCGAAGTCGTGCGGAGGCCTTGTCGCAAGCCCGAACCCCCAGCTCGAAAACCTTCGTCCCTGCACCCTGCCCGCGAAACAAAGGCCGCCATCCCAAAGGGGATCGTGGAGCCTGCGGAACATTTCTGAATGTGTCCAGTTGTAGTCATAGCATACTAGTTGCGGCTGCTACTGGAAGTTAACCTTGTTCCAGATAGTAACAAGTAGGTGTAGCCCAAGCATCCATAAAGCACAGAATCCTGAAACGTGCCCCAGCTCCGTGTCTATGCCCTGTGTTGAGGCACGGGCTCAGACTGAAAATGCCGGGGAGAAGCTGGGCGGGAGGGGCCAGGGGTTGTAGAGTTCTGCCGTTTTTTGGGGTGGTGGGTTCGTCGCCGAAAGCCGTGGACATTGGGGGCCCGCGGCTAGGCAAGCCATGGCAGAGAGTCAGACAGTCAGATGCCCGAGGTCTTTCCTGCCTGCGTTGTCTGTCATTGCTAAACGGTGGGTCTGAAACATCAGTTCCGCACGTGGAAGTAAGCATGAAGCATGGTCGTATGTCTGTCTGAAGCCCAGTGACAGGCTTGGCAATCATGTATTTGTCTTCTTTAGGCGTATCTTCCCGCTTGAACTGTGGCCAGACATATCATTCATGGGTGCAAGAAATCTACGAGCTTTCGGTCCAGGGAAAAAGGTGATTGGAGGCAAAGTCCTGCCCCGACGGATTTTTATCATGGACTGTGATCGGCACGAAACTCATGAAGAGGATGCTCATTGAAGGCTTCCGTCAATGATGCGACCATTGAGGTTGATAAAGGAGCGGTCGTCCTGTCCAGAGCATTTTCGCAGAGCTCAGGAAACGGCCTGCAGATGCAGGGCCCACCACACGGACTTGGGCAGCTCGGATGAAAAGACCACTTACCCTTCCCACTCTTCCCTGAAAGAAATGAAGCCTGGACGTGAGACAAGAGGGCATTGTTCGGGCGGTTCCCTTGCTGACGACGGCTTCACAACGTGGGCCGTGGGTTATGGGGTACGGGGGTTTTAGGCTTATCAGGCATTCGGGATTTGGTTGGACTGAAACTCCAGGCAAACAGCAGCAATCTAGCTGGAGCTTGATTTCAGGCTGAGGTGAGGAATCCGAGGATCAAACCCGAAACGCTCCACGGCTCCAAATGCTGAACCGGTACATCTGAAACCCAAGACCTTGTTGGAACTCTTCAGGACCCCGCCACAGGCGAGATGGTCGACGAAGAGCTGCCGGAGGAACCTCAGCGAAGCAGTGTTGCAGACGCTTAGGGCTTAGGGTTCTGGAGATATAGCAACAAGCTCTCTGGAGGGGACTTCGAACCCTGCGCACATGCCCGAGTGCCGCGCTTTCACCCCGAGACCACCACACCATCCAATCCCTAAAACTCCCAGAACTCGCAGAACCCGCGCTATGAAACTTGAGCCCAGGAAATCCAGGAGATGATGGGCCTGGTCAAGAAGCCCAAGGTAGAGCAGCCCCAGACCAGGCCTTCTGCAGTCGGGCTTTGGCAGTTCAGTGTCCTTCAGGACTGAACGGAAAGCGGACCAGTCTCGTCCCATTTTCAGGTTCGGTGTCTTGCCTGTTCAGTGTTTGTCAAGGCTACTGTAAGTGAGGTGTAGGGTTCAGAAAGGTCGGCTGTTTGATTGGCATCATGACTTGGTTGCCGCCCTTTTTTGGGAAGAGTGCATTCGGGGGAACCTTGCAACATCAGGGCAAAGTTAGGGACCTTGAGAGCTGTGGGTCGCAGGGCCGGGTCACTTTGGATGGTTCCCACATGCTACGTTTAAAGAGGGGCAGTGGTGGGTTCAGAAAGTCTAGGACCAAAGTGTCGAGTTTGGGAGTTTCACGCTGTTCGCATGTTCAGCGAAGTACGTCTATAGGGTCCAAGCACTTTGCGGTTGAGCTTTTACGGTTTGAAAGGGGAAGCGGTTTTGCAATGTCCGAGTTGTTCGGTTTTTCGGATGTACGGTGTCGGAAGTTTAGGCTTTTTTAAGGTTTATAGGTTGAAGATTTTTCGGTTGGTGCTGTTGCTGTCGGAATCTAGACTCCAAAGATTTGGATGCAGCTTTGGGAATATGCGACTCATGGTGTAATCCCAGGAAGATCAAGGTTTATCAAGTGCAGGGTTCAATATGAAAAGACTGTGCTTTTGGTTTACAACGTGCCATGTGCAGCTGAGAGTGTACAAAATGCAGGGTTCAGTAACTAGGGTCGAGGAAGAAGTATGAGGTTTTAGACTGCTGGTGACAGAAGTTTGTGCTGTGAGGTTCAGCAGTCAGATTCTTCAGGGTAGGGCGGTTAGGGCTTACGTGGCTTTTGGTGAAACTAGCGTAGGGATCAAACATCTTATGAAAGCTGAAGGAGATCTTTGGGTTTTCGAGTCCAGAAATTTTCAGCGCGTAGGTCGGATTCGCAGCTTCAGCTTTTTCGGAGAATGTGTAGGGCTGACGGGGTTTGGAGCAGAGGATTTTAGGGTTTGGTGCTTGGCAAGCTTAGGTTGGGTTCCGTACCCAGACTTAGACTTTCTGTACGGTTTACTTCGTCGGAAGTTTCGGGCTTGATAGTGTGCAATATATGGGTTTCATACATTGCAGTTTTCCGATTGTCATTTCGGGATGCCAGGGCTTGAGACCTGTGCAGTTTGGATTTGCGAAGCTTCGGAGGACGTTGAGGGTTTCTGAGGTTGAGAGCCTGAGAACTTCTGAGAAGCTTAGCACGTCTGAAGTGTAGGGTTGCAGACTTGTAGTCTAATGAGTTTGCGAAGTTTGGGCCTCGCGACATTTAGTGTCTATGGCTGGGGGAATCAAGTTGGGAGGTGCTAGTTTCTCAAGGAGGGTCTCAGGTCCGAGAAGTTTTGTGTATGGGGGAAGTGCAGGGTTTAGCAAGAACGCGCAGGGAATGGGGCTGTGAGTGAAGTTCAGAGGGTCAAAAGTTTCGGGAAACGGAGTCAGGGGTTGTAGAGCTTCGGAGTTTACTGTTTCGAAGCTCTGGGAAGTTGAGAATAGGTTAGTTAGCAGTTGGCAGCTGAAGCTGAAGAAGGATTGGGTTTAGATTTGTTTCTCAATCGCATTGGTCAACCTGCAAATGTCTTTCAACAACGAAAGCAGGCACCAGATCTGGTCGGCCTCTGCATACAGCTAAGCCTCGAGTGCCCCATATTGAACGCAGATAGAAGCCTCAACCAGACACCCCAAAGCGATGCCCCTGCCAGACCACAGCGGCCAGCACCGGCTTATGCGCTGCCAGTGCGGCAGCAGCCGCCGCAGTGGTCACCACAGCCACACGCGCAGAGCCGGTTGCCGCTGGGCGTTTCTGGTTCCTTTCCTTTGAAGACTGAGCCTGGCGATTTACTCGCCAGGGGCTGGCAGCAGTCATGAAAAAAGAAGAAAAGCTCGACCCCAACCCGCTCCGAGCCTGAGCCCTGCAACCACACCAAGGCCTCCAATGCCTCCTGCGCCCCCACCCCCGCCGCCTGCGTGGGTGTCGGGCACGATGCGGCCAGCAGAGCCCGCGCAGCCTCCGAGACCACAGGGCCCACCAGCGCTGAAGGCTGGAAGTGCCATAATACGATATAATTCAGGATGTACTGTGTCGTTTGGGGGTACAGTTGATGGTCCAGTGATTCCCTTGCGTAGGGAGGGTCAGGAGGGTTTGAGATCTTGTCTTGTGAGCCTTGATTGTTTTCGGGCTTGGGTTTGCAGGTGTGTGGCTCGCTTCTTGGAGTACTTGCACGAAAGAGACTCAGGGCAAGGGACTAGCCATCATCGCCATCGCCAGGTCACTATGGGAGGCTTCCGCAAGCCGGAGCTGAACGGATGCTCTGCAGCACCAGAGGTCTTCGGAACCGGGGTTTCGGGCTGCGTGCATACAGCTTCAGAGCTGTATTGTTGCTGTTCGCACTGAGGACGTGGGAATTGCAGGTGTGGGCTGGTACCACTTGTTATTTTAAGTGCCAGGCACTCTATGCTCAGCCCGACTTTGGCTATGGGTGCCTCAACCATCCTCAACCCACATACTGAAGCCTAGAGCTATGTCCTGGAACAAAGTGTACACCCAGCGGCTCTGCCAGGATACTACTCCGAGCGCCCAGAGCAGGAGATTCAGGGCCGTGCCAGCTTCTGGACACCCAACCAGGCCTTCTTTATTTACTGGTGCCTCGACGAAACAGGGGACGGCTCTGAAGCCTTTAAGACGCTTCTGCATGTTTGTGGTGGTCCAAGAAGCGCTTCGTGCGTCCAAGGCAGCGTAGCCTGAAGCGCTGGGCCGTCTGCGACGCCGGGAGCCTCCTCGCTGCCAGGGGTGGCGCGAACCCGGGATGGGCGCAGCTCAGCGTGGAAATCGGGGCGGAGGGGGCCTTGTGTCCGTCTCATCGCTTGGAGTGTCGTGATTTCCCACATTGGGATTTGATGTTGTTCGGAACAGGGGACGCAAGGTCGAAACCCAGGTCCAAAAGCCGTGTCGGAATGACAGATTTAAGCAGCATTTTCTGCATTCGGATACCTCCTTGGGGACAGCGGCAGTGGGTCTTCGTGGTCAGCGGGTTGTGGAGATCATTTTTTTCGCCGCAGCCCTTGAGGCAGCCCGTGGTTGAAAAGCACCAATAGTAGATACCGTATCTCATAAATCTCGGAAATGGTTTCTGAAGGTCAAAAGTTTCGAGGTGTTACTGTGAAGCCGCCTGTAGGCTACATGGAGCACTGATCTTTACTCATGAGGCTTGGTTTGGATGTATGGTTACTGCATCTAGAGTCTAGAGCGCTTGCGCACCGGACATCAGCCTCTTCAAGAGCCGCTGAGGTATCGAAGTGATGCACGCCACTTCGCCAAGGCGCTGAATGTGGCGCTAACATTCGGGTTTCGGCCGATGCCTTCAGGTAAAGTCGGCGGCTGCAGTGGTACTGCCGGGTTGTCCGCTTAGGTACGGCTCCAAGCTCGTAAACCCTATTTGACCTTGGCAGGCTAACGATGGCTGGATCGAGGCCGTCGGGACGGAGTGGCAGACTGCGGACGTGCGCTGTACGATACTGGAGGGCAGCATCCGCGACGACAGTTGCCGGGAAGCCTGTGAGGTCTTGCCGATGGCGGGTCTAGAATCAGGTTTCAAGTCCTGCTGGAGTCTCCTATCCATCGCTGGCCTCGACTTAGCTTGCACACTATTCCTTTAAAGGTTTCCAGTTTCGGTTTGCTCAGCATCTTAGGCGACTCATTTCAAGTTCATCAGTCGACCCGGCAGCCCAGCCAAGGCTTCGCAGACGAGGAGGTGCCGAACACACTGAAAGTGAAGTTCACCGGCTTCCACAAGCAGGACTGGTACTGCTTAGGCTTGCATTAGTGGGGCTGCAGGTGAGGGGAGGCTCCAGAATCTCTTTCTTTGTTGGGGCTTTGTCGCAGGAGGAGTTGGGAACCTTCAGAATGATTTGCCTGAGCTTGTAACGTCCCGTTTCCAGCAGACTTGGACAGCTGACCTCTGCACTCCACAGGAGCTGAACACCACCTTCGAGGAGCGGGCGGAGGAAACAATCCAGGGGAAGGCCGGGCCGCGATGCCGACCGAGAGGAGACACGTTCTTTCAGATGCCATAAAAGGCCTCCGATCAGAACCGGTGGTGTCTGAACTCTGAGTATGTGCTGGGAATATATATATATATATATATATATATATATATATACATATACTCTCTCGTTTGGTTCGGTTCGCGGCAATCCATCCCTTGGCCTAAAGCAGCCCAAACAAGTTCTCACACTCTTCCCCCGCTGCGTGAGGCCAGCCTCTGGGATCCAACAAAGTCGATGCCCCTCGACCGCGGCATAGAGTGTCTGTTGTTGGAGCACAGGTGATCCTTTGCCGCATGCTGAGGTTCCTTTACTGGCAGCAGGCCTTCAGCAGGCCGGGCCTTACATGCAGGACGCAAGCAATGGAAGATCCAACCTTCTTTAACTCTCTCACCCAAGACTAAGCATAGCCTAGCTGGCATAGCACTTCAAAAAACCCCAAGAGTTCTGCAGATGGGCTTTGTGCGGTGGAAGCAGTCTCAGCTCTGCGAAGAGTGGGATGGCGCCGGGCTGGGCTTACCGCAACGACGCCCGCTCGGAGATTCGTGCTCTTCGTGAGGTTGATTGCACATACTTCCACTGTAGCTCTCCATGAACCTCTCATGAGATTTAGCCAGGGTTGGGCGCGGCTTTGCGGGGATGCCTTTTGGACACAGTCTTGAGCCCGTCCGTGATTTGAAAGGATGCGGTTGAGACTGGGGCGCGCGACAAACATGGGGGGCCGCTGAACCTGACGGAAGCCGAGGATTCAAAGCATTTCGCAGAGGCACCTGGTGGTTGGATGGAGTACCGGCAACCTGGACTTCTTTTTGTGAGTGTTTCTACTCAGTGCGCTCATGATGTTGACGTGGTGTTGTCTTCTAAGCGCAGGCTCCTGGCTTTTCGGCTTCAGATGATTAGATTATGTAAAGATTCAGGTTTTGTAAGGTCGAGAAGACAGCTTGGGCTTTCAGGAGTTGAGGATCTTCAGTATTCAGATCAGATCCCGAAGCATTGAAACCTTGCAAAAATCTTCGAAGCTCAAACCTGCAAGATTCCAATCTGAACTATGTGAACTCCTGTTTGTTGAGCCTAGCCAGCAAAGGCTTCAATCGAAACAACCCTTCGAACACTGCATCAAGGTTCCTCAAAAGGCAATATACTTCAGGATAGGGTGGGAAGAGGGCGGGCAGGGTTCTGAATCGAAAGCTTCGGCGCTTTCGGATTCGGGGGATTCAAAGTAGCAGCTGAGCCTTTCGGCAGCCCAGGGATTCGCAGTGGCAGCCAGTGACCCGGCGGAGTTGAGAGGCCAAAAGACCGTGACTTCCCAGAAGACTGACCTTAATAATTCAATACCTCCTGGCGCTGTTACAGCTTTGAACCGAAGGCTTTGAGCCATGAATCCGCGCTCTGCAGAACATGAACTGCCGGACTGGCTCAAATCGGATTACGGGCTTGGCAGTTGAGATTCGTATGCACCTCGCTCGGGCTGTTTGGGGCCATTCCAGGGTGAAGTAGATCATGTTGGGGCTAGGAAGGCATGGCTCGTCCAGGGAGTGAGTTTCAGGCTTTGCGCTTCGGGTTCGCGAATCACCTTCAAGTTGTGCCCTGTTCCGTTCCTCCTACCACGCACCGGCCCTCGCTGGAGGACAGCGCGAGTGAAGGGCTGCAACACAACCCACTTTTCGGGCCCAAAGCATCAAGGTCATGTAAGTCTCAACCGGCTTCGCCGTCCTCTACAACTGCAGACCGCGCACACGGAGTCCCATAGTTACTTTAATCAAGCTAAAAACTACAAATATCCTGTATATAGGTGCGAAGACACGTCTACAAATACGAACATGCCCGACACGGGCATAAATACAGACACGCAAATAATACGCACAGACATACATACACACACATATATATATATATATATATAGTTGTATATATTTATATACATGAATATATATATATATATATATATATATATACACACACACAGAGAGGTACGCTGTGGGGGCCCTGTTCTTCCACATGCAAGGTTTTGCGATGTTTTGTGCGTTGTCGTTTAGAGTTTCGCCTTTGACTGTGTTAAGACTTCGTTCGTGCGAAAGCACTGTAACATGTACACACAAAACAGGTAATTATACCTTTATAAAGTATCATGCGAAACAAAGCAACATCATACTTTCAAAGCGTGAGGAGGACTATGGCTGCGGGCGTCAGGGCGGGAAGCTTCCAGCCAGCCACTAAAGGGCTGCGGAGGGGGGTGGGGAGCAAAACAACAAAAACAAACTTGTTTTTGATTATGTTTTTGGAGGGGCCTCCCACCCCCCCTCCCCCCAGGCCTCCAGGCCCCCAAAAAAAGGCCTGGAGGCTACTAGTTTGCGGAGCCTCAGCCACTTTAAGTGTAGATTCGCTCCCGCATGCGCGCGCGGTGCATGCAGTTGACAATTGAATTCCCGTGCAATTTTTTCATCTAGATCGAGATTCATTTAAGTGTAAAATATGACATAGGGGATCTACTGACCCACCACTGTCTATGTGAAATCAGTTCCGGCATAAAAACTTATGCTTCCATCACGGCAGCATATTCAACATTAATCGCTTTCCGGCTGCATCTATTTCACATATTACATTAATAACGTCGCAACCCAACACACTGTCATCATGCATGTCAAAATCGAAAGGTGTTAGTTGAAGGAAATAAACGAAACAGGTCTGTCCAATGATGTTTATACTCAAATTTCGAATGTCATACTACAAAATAGACTTTCCGAAGCACTGCTGTGCCACATGCAAAACAGCAGTCCCAAATATGTTGCATGTACAGGTTTGCCATTTAACATGCATTTGCGGTACAAGATGCATCATGCCCATTCCAACACTGATGGCGGAGAACCGGAATTGATAAACGGCGATAAACAAGCTCCCACAAGGCATCTATACTAGATATACGGGCCGAAAAGCACACAAAAGAACGAGTTTGGTGATGCGGTGGTGAAGTTATGCGTGCATATGTTTCGCACTACATATGGGGAGACAGTGGGAAACATGGAAACAGTGTTGGGCAATACATATTCTAATTTACAAAGTGTTCCTGCTGCGGTATATATCCATCCACACATGTGCTGTCCAGGTGGCAGGACTTCTACAGCATGTTGGCAGGTAGTGAGCTCGCACCCCGTCTTTTTTTGAACAGGTTTGATTGTGTCCTAACTATGTAGAAATATAATGCGAAAACGAAAGCACAATACTTGTGGAGATGCATCTTAAAATAACAGGTTTTAGGGCAAAATGCGCACACGAACTAATCAAAGTTTGAAGGCTTCGTGCAAGACTTCTTGACCGCAGTCTCCTATCGGGTTTTTGAATCTCAAACCATACAAGTCGAATGCATGTAGAAACGAATTTCTGTTCGCGAAATTTTAGAAACGCGAGGCCGCTAAGCATCAGGAAAATTCTACCTGTGGACTCCAAAAATCCCATGGAGGATCTATATATACATATATATACATTGGGTTTCTAAGCATATGGTGCGGCTGAGAAACCTGCTGCTGAATGTTTTTAGGAAGGAGTGCTTGTTGGTCACTCTTCAAGCTGAAGGGGAACCCATGTGAACCCCATCGAAAACCAGGGGCGTGCAGATCTGGATGTATTACACACGTTTGTAGTGCGGTCAGCAGGAACTCAAACTCAAGGGGTCTGCAAGACAGAAAAAACATTTTCATGTCAGAGAGTGTATATATAAGACGGGGGGGTGAAGCTTGTTAGCATCTTCTCCAAATCTCTAAGCCAAGGCATCAATAAACATGAAAAAGACGTCATATCCAGGAAATATTTTACCCATATGACAAGGTCAGACACCAAATTATACGTCATGAGACTTTCCGCACCAATCCTAGATACCAGCCGTTTCAATAAACACGAGACTACTCAGAATAAGTCTTTATGAAACCCCAAATTCTCTGGAAGACACATGCAATGGTTGACAGTAGGATCCGTGTTTGAGTTTAAACAGTGATAGGATACCAGGGGCTTTACGAGCCAAAACTATGCGACATAGAATGGAAATGTCAGTTTCCTAGTAGATTCCTCTCAGGCCAAGGCCATTTGCACGATGCTCCAGGGCCAGCTTCCCGGCGCTGCCCTCTTGGCCGAAGTTTGGAGAGCTAGAGGTTTTCAAGCTGGATTGCTCTTCAGGCGACCAGGTTTGGGGTGCGCGGTCCGGGTTGGCTGAAGGCTGGGTTCTCCAGGATCCAGGGTTGTGCAGGGTTGAGGGCTCTTGAGCTCCAAGTTCCAGAAATTCGGATTAAGGACTCTGGCGGCCTTGCAGGTTTCGTATGTGGATCATAAGGCAGATGCTCGATGGAAGCCACAGAGGAAAGGGGGCGATCGTCAGATCCAATGGTGCAACTCATGCGAGAAGATGCACGTAGTCAAAAAGAGTGTAGAGCAATTTAGAGCACGTGCGCAGCAGCGCCCTGTCAAAGCGTGAGTGGGAAGATTCGTGCAGCGGATGATTTTGCATGCTCGCGAGGCATCCAATCCCAAAGCTCTGACATGGCTAGGCGGGAGCCCCATGAACCAAAAAAGGCATTGAACGAGTTTCTCACCTTACCGCAGGAATTTTGATTCCCCGGGCCAAACCCTAAACTCGCTCTAAACTCCTAAAGTCTTGGAGCTGGAGGTAAAGGAAGAAGCCCCGGCGAGGGAGGCCACCTCAAGTCAACCGTCGGCCCAGGCGCATTGGTCTATGAAGTATTAGGTTTCATAGCAGTTCAAGCAGTCGGGGATTTGCAAATTGGACGGATTA